TCGCCTGTCGTGGAGAATGTCAACAGGAAAGACACAGCCTGACTGAAAATAGCAGTGGCACTCAGAGGTAGTGCTTGCACATCTCTTCCAGGACAGCATCTCATCAGTGCCATTGCAGAGCAGATGTTTGGATTCAAGACGACTTCATGGTGAGCAGGATAAAGGTTCCTTTTGACCCGTTTGGTATGTGCCACCATGCCACCTGCACACAGCCTGAGCCCTGAAACACCAAAAGCAATTTGGATGTTTCACTTGAGCTCAGATGTTGCAGGAGAGGTGACTGACCTGGAGAGAAGTTGTATAAAGTGTCTCGTCCTCCTTAAGTGTTTGGTTTCCACCTGGTGCTTTGTGACAGGGAGAGGAGGAAGTCTGTTTGGTTTCAGCCACCACATTGCCAGCAGTGGGATGCTGGTGCTGCACAAAGGGATGTCCCAGCTGGTCTCAGCTACAGGAGCAGATGTTCTTCCTTGGTGCAGGGAGCTGGGCCGTCAGCGCAGTGTCATTGAGCTGGACACCCCCTTGGTGACAGCAGAGCAGGTGGAGGCCCTGGAGAAGAGCGTGAACGAGAAAATCCGGGACAGGGTCCCTGTAACAGTGAGGGAACTGGCTGCAGATGACCCTGAAGTTGAAACAGTGAGTGGTGGGAGGGAACTGATGGTTAACATGGGGCTGGAATACCTGAGCACAGATGTCAGCTGCTTTGTCACTCTCCTGTGGCAGGTGAGGAGCCGGGGGCTGCCCGATGACCACGCAGGGCCCGTGCGCGTGGTGGACATCAAAGGCATCGACTCCAACCTGTGCTGTGGGACTCACGTCTCCAACCTGAGCGACCTCCAGGTGGGCTGCTGCAGCTGGGCTGCCTCTGGGAGCCACTCTCCACATGAAGCACAGGCAGAGTCCCTGGGATCCACAGGCTGCTCCAGACTGTGCTGATGGGGAAGGGGGTGCAGCAGCCCAGGCTGAGGGAGCCCCAGGAGGGTCACACACAGGCTGGGTGCCACAGGTGCTTTTGTTTCCTTGTTGTAGAGCTCAGCCCTGTATGCAGCAGTGAGATTTTTGCACTGCTAGGGGTGTTGGTCATGTTCCCTCTGTTTAAAGCTCTGATATTTTTGAGTGCTCATCATGGATGAGAAATCTGTGCAGGGAAATGGTGATAAAATCCTAGACCTGTCTTTAAGTATTTGTACTTTCTCAGTCATTGGTTGGAGTCTGTTTCCTAGCAGATACATCCAGATGCCTTGTAGAGTACATCCCATGGCTAGAAGGTTGCATAAATTCCATTGTACCACTATCTCTTTTTTTTTTTTTTTGTATGTTGACCTTATGACTGATTTTCATCTATTTTCACTAGCAGAGTCAAATTTCACCACAAGGCATAATCTGGCAGGAACTGACCACCTATGTGAATTACCAAAATGCTGTCCTGACCAGGTTGATTTTCTTTTCAAGGTTATTAAACTCCTTGGCGTGGAAAAAGGGAAAAAGAACAAAACTAACTTGGTCTTCTTGGTGGGAAACAGAGTGCTGAAGTCAATCGAACAAAGTCACAGTACTGAGAAGGCTCTAACCTCCCTGCTCAAGTAATGCCCTTTTCACTTGTGCTATTTCATCTTCACTCCTCCTCCTCCTGAGAGATACCCCATAAGCCTCCGGGTGCACGTTGTGGGGCTGTGTGTGATGCTGCCTGTTTTGCTCCTTTAGGAAATCCTTCCTTTGTCCTTCAGAGCAGTGATCCAAAGTCTCCCATTTCTTTCAGAAATGGACCAGGTGAGCACGTAGAGGCTGTGAAGAGACTGCAGAGCTCTGTGAAACTGCTCCAGAAGGTACAAGAATGGCTGGGAAAAGTGGGTTGTCATTTCCTGTAGACCCTTAGTTGTGGTAACTGTGAGTCAAATCTTTGGTTTCAATTTTTGTGGATATTGTGAAAAGTGCTCAAACCTGTGGGAGCCCAACTGTGTTCACACTGACTTCTCCAGCTGAAGTACAGTTAATTTCCTTTTCTTTCAGAATAACCTGAACCTGCTTAGAGACATTGCTGTTTTGATAGCCCGGGACTTCAAGAGCAAACCTGCTCCAAAGCAGCTGTTTGTATTGCACAGGTATGGGGGAGCTCAGGGAAGAGGGGCCAGCAGTACCCCACACATTTTATGGCAGTTGGATCTCTCACACCTTGTGAGAGCAGCTTGTTTTCTCAAGGAAGAATGTAAACAAAGTAAATAGAATATTAAACTGCCTTGGCCTGCTGCAAAGATGTGCAATTAAAGGAATCTGTAATTCAGTCACTGAATTCTTCTGGTGCTGTAGCTGAGAAATTGCTGTGTTCATCTAATTCCCTCTGCACCTGATATTTTCAAATAAAACCAGGGAGCTCTGTTTCTTAAAGACAACACTTGCATAATTCCTAAGGAGTGCCCAGCAAGGATTTACATATATAGACAAATAAGAGCAAGAGGCCAAAATCCTGATCAGGCACTTGGTTTCTGATTGAGATTTTGTACTCTAGAGGGGGGTTTTGCTTCTTTCTGAAGTGGTTTTTTTTTTTTATTCATCCATACAGGAAAGAGGGTGATTCCGAATTTATGAACATCATTGCTAATGAGATTGGGACAGAGGTGAGTCACTGATAAAGACTAAACTGACACCACTCTTTTTTCACCCCAGTTTTACATGGACAGGGGCTGGCCAGGCTGCTGTTCCTGCCACAGTCATCATCTGCAGAGCTGGTTCCTTTGACAGGTACCTGAGGTTACCTGTCCCCAGCAGCCTCAGTCTGTAGGGCCGTCCTCAACAGTGAGAATTCAGAGCCCTGGAGAAGAGCCTTAGCCCCCAGGAGCTATACAGAGCCTCACTGGTTGAAATAGGTTAGGATGGGATTAGGTAGGAGTAGAATGGAAAGAACAGCAAGTTTCAGTGACAGCCACCTAGTTCAGTTGCCAACTGTATCCTGTTGACTTGGGATACCCCAAGCAGTCTCAGTAATGCACATAGACTTCCAAATTGCCAGTTTGCTGTTTGTGTCCTGTGGCCAGTGTGGCAAGCACTGATTTATCTGGAGCAAAGCCTGTCTTTGTCCACAGGAAACCCTGCTATTCCTGACTGTGGGAGATGAAAAAGAAGCAGGACTCTTCCTTCTAGCTGGACCTGTTGAAGCAGTTGAAAATTTAGGTCCCAGGTAACATGTTGTGTGATTTGTTTAACTTGAGTAAGAATTCTGTTGCAGACTGAGCAGCTGCACAGTGTGATCCAGGCAGGGATCTGTGTGTGCTGTGTGGAGCAGCTTGGGCTCCAGCCTGTGGTGTTGCTGCTGCAGGGTGGCAGAGCTGCTGGGTGGGAAAGGAGCTGGGAAGCGCGGCCGCTTCCAGGGCAAGGCAGCCAAGATGAGCCGGCGAGGAGAAGTGCAAGCTCTGCTCCAGGAATTTGTTAGCCATCAAAACCCAGGAGCATGAGAAACAATTCTCAAAGTAGGTTTGTCTTATATTTGTTTGCATAGGCTCCACTAACTTTTTACCAGAGAATAAAGGCCTGAACCCAACAGCTGGTGTGCACATGCTCTGCGTGGGCTGCTCACGGAAATGGGGAGGGGATCTGCCATTGATGCTTTCCTGCAAGGGCTCAGTTCTCAGGACAAATGGTGCAGGGATTAAAGTAGTCCTTAGTTAACCACTTTGTAGGGTTCCCAAACCCAGAAGGGGCCTCCTGCTGGCAGTACTTTGGGGCATTTTGCTTTGTGCCAGTTGCTGAGGAGGAGTTGCTTGGCAGGAATGCTCAAGCAAGAGGCAGCTGGGCTGGGCAAGGGCAGAGAGCAGCTGGAAGGGAGAGCAGGTGCCCAACAGACAGGAGATCACTCCTCACCACATACCAAGTCCTTTCCCGTGGTGGGGTGCAGTTACTGGTCGTTTTTTGACCATTGGTAGTTCTCAGGCTGATGCAGCTGTAAACTCCCTCGGGATCAGGCAGAGCTGTTCCCTCAGCTCACCTCTCCTGCCCAGGCAGGCCCTGGAGCTGCTGCAGTCTCCTCTGGAGGAACTAAAGGGCGCTGTGGAGCCACAACAGGGCTCAACAGGTATTTTGAGAATTTACCCTTCCCTGTCTTGATAGAAATGGTGTGACAGGTTTACCCCAGATGCTGCTAATAAACAGAGAAACAGAATAAAAGAAACCTCCATCCTAAGGACATTTATCTGTCATGAGCAAGGGGATGGGAACAGCCCCAGCAGATGGGGTTCCCACCCATGGGTGCTGTGACTGCTGCATGGCCACAGCCTTGGCTGAGCTGTTGGGATGGCATCAGAGCACAGGGACCACCACTGAGGCCTGGAACTGGGTGTGGGGTCAGAGCTGCAGGGGCTGGTGCTTTGGGAGTGATCCTACACATCCACACAGAGTCTGGCAGGAAGAAAGTGTCTGCACCTCCCTGTGTATTTTGGACTATCTCAGACTGAGGATGTTTCCTGAGAGGGTTGATAGCTGGGCTGTGCAGCCTGCACAGCTTGGAGGGCAGCAGGTTGAGCCCACAGCCCTGCTGCAGAGTGAGCACTGGGCTGGGGTACTGAAGTGGGAGGGACATGACCCCAGCCCCACACTGTGGCAAAATGCCAGCACTGTCCCCAACACCTTGGGGGCTCAGCACAGCCCCAGCTGGGCCAGTTGGTCCCAAAGCTGAGCTCGTTTCTGTAAGCAGTGAGGTGACACAAGTTTGTCCCTGTTCCTGGCACAAAGTGCACCCAGAAACCTTGGATAAACAGCACAAGAAGCAGCTCATTTCCCCCACTGTGCTGTCAGTGTTCAGCTGCACCTCAGGACAAAAGGAAAAGACCCAGGGTACTGGGTAGTGCCCTTCCTATTGGCTTGAACATGTCTTGCAGGTGTTGAGGGTCTCCAGCCCCCAGGAGAAATGTCCTTCCTCTACCACCTGCCATGGCACAGCCCTGCATCCAGGAGCTGATCCCCATCCCATGGTGCAGGCCAGCAGGACACTCAAACTTGCCAGCTAAACAACCTTCAGCTTTAATAAAACACCTCCTGTTTTATTAAAAGCACCTCCTGTGCTCCTGTGGGGCACAGCCCCAGCCACCCCATGTGATGTGTGCACAGCTCCATGTAATGCATGTGCACACGTGGGTGTGAGTGCCCCCCACGCTGATCACACACAGGTGAACACCAAACGTCCCTGGGCTGGGGGTCCCTCACACTGGCACTTGATCTCCATGTCACAGTCTGTCCATTCCTGTCACAGAGCTGCCTCTTCAGCAGACCCCAGACACGCTGAGGTGGGAGCCCTGCTGCCAGTGGTGCTGTCCCCAGCCCTGCAGCACAGAGGTGGCCTGTCCCCACGGGCTGCAAGGGAGTGCAGGACCTCCCTCTGCTGCTGCTGCTGCTGCTGGGTCCTGGGCAGGTGACCCCAACCTGTGGGTGCAGGAGGGGCAGCAGGGAAGTTGTGGGCATGCAGGGCTCTCTGTGCCAGCCCCAGCCCAGCGTGACTGGCACTGTGGGTCTGTGGTGTGGGAGCCACCCAGCAGCACCAGCAGCCCAGCCTCCGTGGTCTGCTCCCAGTGCAGAATCAGCCTGTGCAGACTCAGCGGGAGGCAAGCAGTGGCTGAGGTGCACCCAGGGCCTGCTAGCTGCCCCTGAGACACCCCTGGGGTGTCGGGGTGCCTTAGGCAGCCTTTTTGTGCTGTGTGGCCAGGAGCTGGGAGAGGCAGTAGGGGATGAGGCCGACAGTGGCCAGTGGCACAGCAGCACTCTTGCAGAAGGAGAGGGCGTAGAAGAGCAGCTGCATGTGGGAGGGAGGCTTGAAGGCATCGAAGACGTGGAGGATGAGGAGGGAGGCAGCGATGCAGCCCAGGCGGAGGGGCAGCTGCTGGCCCTGCTTTAACCAGGAGCTCTCCTGGTACAGGTGGGAGTTGAGGGCCAGCCCCAGCCCGAAGAGGATGCCCAGGTTACGGAGGAGGCTGGCAAAGGGAGTGGTGTCAATGTGGACCCACTCAGGGTTGCTGCACCACTTCTGTGCCTTCTCCAGCGTCCAGAGCAGGTCCACGCCGAATGTCCACAGCAGCAGGTAGAAACCCAGGGTGAAGCTGAAGAGGAACAAGGTGATGCCCAGGTACCGGTGGAAGCTGGCATGGTAGATGCAGCGGATGTGCTGGAAGGTCTTGGCCACAGCCATCCCTGCCAGTAACAAATTTGGAGCATTGGTCAGTGCTGCAGGTACTGCAGTCCAGCACAGTGCTGCTGCAGGGACAGGGAGAGGGGTCTGATACACTCACCTGAGAAAACCCCTGCAATCACCTGGTGGGGGAAGTGAGCAGCAATAAAGACTCGGGACATGCAGACACAGACCTGGACTGCCCAGAAGCCAATCCAAAGCACTGCCCACAGCACCCTGTGAGGGACAGGAGGCCATGTCAGTGCCAGGGCCAGCTTGCACTGCCCATGGCACTGCCATCATGTACTCCAAACAATGCCTGGCTGTCGCTGAGCCTGTGCCCATGCAGAGCCCAGCTGTCAGCCCACAGCCTTGCACCTGGATGGGCTTGGCTGTGCCTGTCAGTGCTGGAGCCACCTCTGCTTGGCACAGGTGGTTTTGGCACTCAGCTTACCAGTATCCCAGTGTTCTTGACTGCTTCTGTCCCGCAGCAGCAGAGAGGAGGGCTGTCACCATGACATAGTACACGCCTGCTGCACCCATGGCATGGCCAGATGGGCTCCCTGGGCAAGAAGAGAGACCCAGGTCAGGCTCTGCATGGGCCAGAGCTGAGCACCCACAGGGGTTTGTGCTGATCCACCACAGCTTCACCAAGGGTCAAAGTCTGCTCTGTGCAGGGGCTGCCCTGCCTCCTTCCCCTGCAGGCACAGCCAGTGTCCCCAGCAGCACAGCAGCAAGAGCCCTCTCTCCAGAGCTGTCCAGGGGCATGTGCTGCCTGCAGGCTGCCAGGCAGGCCAGGCTAGCACCCCCCTCTTTGCCTGTTCAGTCACCATGGGCAAGCACCCCCTGCCCTGGCTGCGAGCCCCTCCCATGGCTCGGGGAGCCCTACCTGGGCCAGTCTCGCAGGTGAGTGGGAACTGCTGGATCTCTGGTGCAGAGTTGTTGCCATAATAGTCTGTGTCAAGGACCCACCAGTATGGTCTCTCCCCAAAGAGGATCCTGAAAAGAAAAGAGCAGGGATCTGAGGAGGTCCAGGGCACAACTGCAGATTTAGATCTGTCCTGGGAGATGGAAGAAGCAAAGGACCCACAAGGTGCAGAGCATCCTGACAGACACAGCACCCAGCTGATGGCCTGGTTCTGACAGCTGACACTGCCACTCCATGTCCCCATCCCCAGCCCCAGAGCAAGAACTACCTGGAAGCAAGTCAGTATGACCTCCTGTGGTGAGGGGCTCTGTGGAGATCCCCCCACTCAGCACCAGCCCTGGCTGATGGGAAGCTCTGTTTGCAGGAGGCTCCATCTCTGCATGGCTTGGGAAGGAGTGACCATTGTCACTGCCCAGCTGGGGCTGAACTCTGTTTTACTCCAGCCCTGAGGCTGAGAGCATCCATCTGGCCCACATCAGTCCAGGTGTGCCAGCACATGGTGGGAGTGTTGGCTCGAGGCCACTCACCACTTGAAGACGAGGTTGAGCCAGTCTCCGATCACAGCCACCCAGATGAGCCTGATGCCCACTGCTTCACTGAAGTGGAACCAGATGGGGAAGAGGACAAAAAAAGCATTCCTGAGGTCAGCAGCATAGGAGATGAAGAGGAACCAGTCCTGGGAGCCCTGGAAGCGCTGCTGCAGCCAGTGTGTGGTCTGGATGCCCACGTCATGCAGGAGGTTCATGTTGGCCTCCATCCTGCTCTCTGCCCTCGGCGTACCTCTGCCTGTCCCGTACTCCACTGTGCCACTGGGGTTTTATACTCTGCAGGGTCTTGTTTGCAGCAGGCAGGTCACTGTCCCAGCACTGATCTTTGGACCCAAAACCACTCTTTCCAAAGGTACATCACCAGGGGCTTGTAACAAACATGTTTGGAACAGCTTACGTAAAAGGGGAAAACAGGTTTCGAGGGCACGTGGAGCGCAGTGCTCCAGCCCCAGCACCATCCCCTGCCCCTCACCATCCCCTCACTCGGGGGGAACTGCAGCTGACTCCTCCAGCTAGCCAGGACAGCAGCTCAGCTGCTCTGGCTGACCCACAGCCCTTGCTCCATTCTGCCACACTCTGTGTGTGACAGTCCTGCAGAGCTGCCATGTCCAGGGCTGACAGTTGCTCTGGTCTCTCTGCCATCCCCCTGTGAACCACCACCAGAGCAGGGCAAGGATGCCCAGGAGCATGCAGTGGGTGCATGGAACAGAGGGCAGGCTGCCCACCCCCCTCCTCATTTGCCAGGCTAATTTCACCAGGACTTTGCATAATGGAAGACTTCAAAGCCATTCCTGGAGGTCCCTGCAGTCCCAGACAGCCAGGCCTGGGTGCTCCTGGCTGCCAGTCGTGTTCTTCTGATCTCTAGTGGGGCCTGAAGGATCTTTGCAAATAAAGCCACCACCAGAGCATGGCAAGGATGCCCAGGAACATGCATGGAGCAGAGGGCAGACTGCCCACCCCCCTCCTCATTTGCCAGCCTAATTTAACCAGGACTTTGCATAATGGAAGACTTTCAAAGCCATTCCTGGAGGTCCCTGCAGCCCCAGACAGCCAGGCCTGGGTGCTCCTGGCTGCCAGTCGTGTTCTTCTGATCTCTAGTGGGGCCTGAAGGATCTTTGCAAATAAAGACTGCACTTCTTCTCCCAGCACTGCTCCACTGGGTTAATCCCTCCTGCCCCAACCCCAGCTGTGGGTACAGAGCCAAGCACAGAACTCATCCTGTGGTGCCCATGGCATCCCCTCCACCCCAGCTGCACTCTGCTGTCCCTGCTAGCAGTGCTGGCACTGCATCTTTGTCACCCACAGCTGCCAGTGCCTGGACACAGCCCCGTGGCAGCAGCACGGGGTGCCCAGCCAGCACCCACCACAGCTGAGCAGGCAGCAGGGCATTAATGACCAACAGCCAGTGAAATGCATCACTTATCTCCCTCCTGAGAAAATTCATGTCAGGATCCTTGAACCCCTGCCCTGTGGTGTTTGTCTCTGTGAGAGCTGTGTCCAGTCCTGGGTCCTGCTGACAAACAGCAGGAGTTACAGGCCCCATCCTGCCCCTCTGCCCGTGCAGAGCCCAGGGAGCCATGGGGTCTGACAGGCAAAACTCCAGCAAATCTTGCTCCTTGGGATATGGGCATGGATGGCCTGGGAGGAGAGCAGGCAAAGGCCACAGACACAGACTCAGCCCTGCTGCAGGCATGTCCCATCCAGCCTGGCCGTGCTGCACCCAAGGAAGGTGATCCCAGACCCTGGACTGAGCTCCTGACCTGCAAAACGTCCCAACAAAGCAGAAGTTTGCACAGAAACAGAATTACTCTTGCAAAATAAATTCCCCAACAGCTCATTCCAGGGTCTTCAACTGAGAGTGGCTTTGGCCAGCGTGAAGGAATGCAACAGACTTGGCTTCTGTTCCAAAAATATTTTGAAACCGTCAGCAATAAATCCTTCCCAGGAGAATTCACAGCGGAAAATGGGGCAAAAGGTGCTGGGGGATGGGGACTAGCACTCCAGTCCCCTAGGAAAAAGTCACTGCAGGAAACTGGGGCCGTAATGGGGAGAGAGCAGGAAGCAGGATGGAAGCAGCCACCTCCTCCCTCCCAGCACAGAGAGAGTGGCTCAGCCCAGTACTCCAGTGTTTTTGTGCAGTGCCAGGTGCACATGCCACTGGTCAGGACTGTGCCAGAGGTGCCACACACGGTCCTAGCACTGCTCCATGCTCTGCCCTGTGGATAAATCCCCAGCCCCAAAGTCACTCTGTGGACCTGGGGCAGGGCAGGGCAGCAGAGCTGCCTGGGCACTGCAGGGTTCTGCATTCTGCCTGGCCTGACAAGTGCTCAGGGTGCTGCTCTGTACAGCCCTGCCAGCAGCACTGCTGGGATGTGAACTGAAAACAGGCTGGCTTTCCAGGGAAGGACTGGGGCCAGCTGGGGGTGCCCAATTCCTGCCCAGCTGTGTGACTGCAGTGGCAGCAGCTGGCTCTGGCACACGCTGTGCCCATGCTGCCCAAGGCTCTGGATGCTGGCTGTGGCACACGCTGTGCCCATGCTCCCAAAGCTCTGGATGCAGGCTGTGGCACATGTTATACCCGTGCTGCCCGAGGCTCTGGCACATGTTATACCCGTGCTGCCCGAGGCTCTGGCACACGCTGTGCCCGTGCTGCCCAAGGTTCCAGGTGAAGCTCTGGCCAGCACAGCACCAGTGGGGGCTGGCCGTGCCACGTGGAGTGCCCGTGTTTGGTCCGGAATGTTCCCTGACAGCTGCAAGGTCCAGGCTGGGCTGTGGCAGCGTGGTCCCTGCGTCAGCACTGCACATGTGGGCACACGGTGGGCAGGGAGCTGCCTGGGCACGACCTTCCTCCTCTGGGCACAGCCCAGGGCAGCCAGGGGCCACTGCAGCCCCACACTGAGCCATGGCCTCTCCTCCCCTCACCTCTCCCGTGTGCTGCAGCAAGCTGAGCTGGCTCCCAGGGGCACATGCTCAGCCACTGGGGCTGCTCAAGCCCCTCTCAGCATGTTCTGGACAGACCCATCCACTACAGGAGGGGATGGATACCCACCATGCCCCCAGGTGAGTGTGTAGTATCTCAGCCATGGGCCAGGGCTGGCACTGGCACCACCAAGCTTCTTGGTGTCCCCACGGCAGCCTGGCACGGTGGGGAGGGGCTCTGTGGGATCCTGCAGCCCAGAGCTGTGGAATCAAGGGTCCCCACACAGGGGGGCTGAGCAGGCTGGGCAGCAGCCAAGCCCAGAACTGATTAACACAGCTCAGAACAACTGTTAAACATTAACTCCCTTGTTTGCTGTGTATTCCCTGGCAGGAGCCTCCTGCCAGCACCGGGGTCCAGGAGCATCGCCAGGACAGCCCACACAGCCATGCCAGGCACTGTGCCAGGCTCTGGGGCAGCCCCACAGCCCCGCAGAGCTGAGCCAGGGCCATCCCTAACAGGGCTTCAGCCGTGCCACAGGAGACAGAGCAGCACCCGGGAGTTTGTTCAGGAAAAGCACTCGAGTGCCCTTTTATTGGGAAGGGCACACATGGGGCAGTCCAGCCCGGGCACTGCCCATCCAGAGGCCCAGCCATGGGCTCCTGCAGCCATGGGCTCCTCCAGCAGCCTCCCAGGGCAGCACCTCCCTCTGCAGAGCTGGCCCTGCATGCTGCAGTGGCTGCGAGGCTGGGGAGGAGGTTTGGGCATCCTGTGGCAGTTCCACAGCAGCACCACACCACTCACTCCTGCCCCTGTGGGCAAAACCTCAGCTGGCCCACAGCTCCAGGGGCAGCTGCAGCTTTGTGTGTGGCCAGCACTGTGCCCCTGTGTGCAGCGATGATGGGGACGTGGTGGAAGCCCCATCCTGGAGGAGGGGAGCATTTTTGGGCACCCCACAGTACACAGGGTGAAATAAAAAAATCGCTCCCAGGGGTTGCTTTTCAGAGGCTTTGGGCCCTCCTTTGGCAGTGCTGAAACAAGAGCTGAGCTTCTCCCCAAACCTGAGCCTGAGCACAGGACACCCTGGGCAGGGGGAGGGCAGGTCCTGGGACTGAGACCCTCTGAGCAGCAGCCCCTGGCCCATCAGAGCCCGCCGAGAGGCGGTGCCAGGCTGAGGTTGAGGAAGCCCCCAAAGTGGAAGGGGGGCAGGCGGGGGGCACAGGTGGCAGCAGAGGACAGGCAGGCAAGGGGATTGTCCCCACACGCCCCAGCGTCCTGCTCACTGCTGAAGTAGACACTGTCAGCTGAATCCACCGAGGGGTCCTCGCTGAAGTAGTTGTAGGGCCTCAGGAAGAAGCCAACTCCATTCCCCACTGTCACTGTGTTGGGGATGTCTTCAGCATGAGGGATGTGCAGGAACCCCACAGTGATCCAGGCAACCAGGTCCTGGGAGAAGAGGAACGAGGCATCTGTCAGGCTGAGCAGGACTCTGCCAGCCCAGCAGCTGCTCAGTGTGGCTCTGGGACAGGAGCAGCTTCTGTCCAGGGCAGGAGGCAGGTTGTCCCCACAAGGTTCAGCTTCTCTCACACAGAATCACTGAATCTCTAGGTTGGAAGAGACCTTTAAGATCATCGAGTCCAACCCATGTTCTAGCACCTCAACTAGATCATGGCACCAAGTGCCACATCCAGTCTTTTTTTAAACACATCCAGGGATGGTGACTCCACCACCTCCCTGGGCAGGTGATTCCAGTATTTGACCACTCTTTCTGTGAAAAACTTCCTCCTTAAGTCTAGCCCGTATCTCCCTTGGTGCAGCTTGAGACTGTGTCCTCTTGTTCTATCTGTTGTTGCCCGGAGAAAGAGACCGACCCCCAGCTCACCACAGCCACCCTTCAGGAAGTTGAAGAGAGTGGTAAGGTCACCTCTGAGTCTCCTTTTCTCCAGGCTAAACAATCCCAGCTCCCTCAGCCGTTCCTCATATGGCTTGTGTTCCTCTCCATCCCAGGGACCCCAGCTCACCTGGTTGGTGATGGTCTCGTTGTTGATGAAGTCAGCAAAGGCCACAGTGGGTGTCCAGGGGTCGTTCTGGTTGTAGATGCTGGTGCTGGTGGGCTCCTCCTCCTTCCTCCGGGTGACAGCCAGCTGGTACCTGCCAGCACAGGGGTCACAGGGACCTGCCCACGCCAGCCATGGCATTGCCAGCTGGGAGACACTGCCAGACTGGGGTTGGGCATCCCCAGTCTGCCCTGGGGAGGGGAGGAAAGGGCCAAGAGGGCAGTAATGGGCAGCCCCAGCATCTCCGAGCTTTGTGGGGGATCCCTTGCTGCCTGTGGTTTTCCAGCATGGCTGGGAAACGTGGATGGATCCAGGGGCAAACACTGCCACTCAATGCCCAGTGCACTCCCTTAAGCCACAGCTGCTTCTCCCCCACACAGATTTCCCCAGCATGAGCTCCACCAGTTCACCCTGGCAGTGAGACTGGCCTGTGCTTACCCCAAGCATTTTCCAAAAGGCATTCTGTCCTCGTGGGAAGATATCACGACCTGGCAA